TTAGAAGTTTGATAAAATTTAGAGATATACTAAAGTACTAAATATATGTTGTAAAGTAGATGCTAAGGTTTGATAAATTCTATAAGAGCATAATAATTTAATAGTTAAGCTCTAATTGCAAGTATTAGTTCTATTATAGTGTTATTAGATTAGCTATAAAAATATGTACAAAAGGCTTTAAGAGGTTTATCTTAAAAATAAAATAATCCTAAAGTTGAAATAATAATCTGAATGTCTGAATATGACTCAGTAAGTTAATACAAATTATAGACTCAGAGGGTTTAAAGTAAAACACTTAAGCAGAAGTATTAGATATGGCAATTGATAAGAAACTTTTAGACAAACTTCTTAAATAGGTAATATAAAAAAGTTACACATGTAGCCAATTGTATACTTTTTTATAATAGTTTATAGAATCACATTACTAATAAAGTTATTACTAAAAGTCAAAAGATCAAAGAAGTTATCTTAATAACAAAAAAAAACCCCCATTACAAAAAAAGTGTACAATTAACTATATATATAGCTTTTTTATATTATTTATTTAAGAAGTTATTTAAAGATTCTTTATTAATTATTATATATAATATCTTTGTTTAAGTATTATATTTTAAACTTTCTGATTCTGCAATACATATTAACTTTATAGAATTATATTTAAATTATTGTTTTAATTTTAAAACTAATTTATTCTTGAGATAAACTTTTCAGAACTTTTTGATAGCTATTTTATAACTGATCTGATATTATTATAATTGAACTAACAATTATAATTAAAACTAATTATTAAACTACTATGCTTTTATAAAGTTTATTTAAACCTTAGTATTACTTTACAGTATATCTGAAATATTTTAATATATTTTTATTTTTATTTCTAAAGTTTCAATCTAGATAACTTAATAAAATTGTAATCTGTCTCTTAATATATTAAATTAGCTTAATATTTTTTTCTTTTAGTTTGATTCTGATAATCTGATTAATAATATTTCTTATCTAAGGTTCTTATATGTCTAGCTTTTTTATATTGGTATCAGATTTTTAAATTTAGTCTTTATATAATATTACCAAAGATTTGTACTATTTTTCTGCTTAGTTCTTTCTAAATAGGCTTTTTGTTTCTTAATTTATATAGTTATAAGAACTAATTTTGAGTTTACATCATCTGATACTAGTTTGTATAACTAGTTATATAAATATTTTATCTTTTAAACTATCTAGCAAGCAAATTTGCTTGCTAAAATTTTTTTTACCTAATTTTTATACAATACACCAAATTTTATTAAGATATATTTTATATACTTTAAACTAAAATAAAAGTATATTTAAGAATAGTGATCTTAGTATAGTAGTTAGGTTGTTATTTTTCAAGTAGCAGGTCTAAGATTTAAATTCCACTTATGATAAAATTTGAAAATTATATTTGTATTATGATAACTGTCTTTTGTTGATCAGTTGGTCTCATATAGCTGCAACCCAAATATACCAAATTAGGTTCTACTGATATTAAAAGCTTGAGACATCTATGCAAAGTATAACATTATATATACATAAAGGAACAGAGATGGCTATTTTAGGTTATAACAAACTTATATAACCAAGATAATTATAACATATTAGTAAATTTTATAAGTTATAATAGATTATAAGGTTATAACTAACAATTGGTTTATAAACTATAATAAGCCATATTCCAATACTGTAAAGAAATGTATAATCAGTATTGTATAAAACTTTAATACAAACCTATGATAAAACCACTGAGCATAGAAAACAAAGAAACTAAAATAACAGAAACCTACTTAAAAATTCTCAAGTAAAGAGGTAATATAAATTTTTAACAGTATTATCAGACTGATTGAAGTCTATGAAACATCTTTAATAGGAACCAAAAATTAAAACTAGATAACAAATATGTTTAGAGAAGCACATAACTAACTAGGTCATCAAACTCACTAGAAGAAAAAAATACAGAAGTATATCATATTAGGCTATTTGAATTAGTAGTCTGAAATAAGACTGACAGTTTTGAATTACAGCTAATAAAAGATAATAAAGAAAATACTAAAAAAATAGATACTGGGTTTTTAGTAAACTTTACAAAAGTAAAAAAAATAATATAACATAGCAGTTAAACAGATAATCTCTGTAACAGCAAGTATTAAATAACTATAGTATATTGTATAAAACTAGATTAGTATATATGAGACATAAAGACTTTAGTAAGTTTCCTGTTAAGAATAAAGTAGTCTTAAGAGTACCAACTAGTATCAGAAACTTGGATTAGTATAATCTTAAAAATGTTTCTGTAATATAAGAAGGATTGCATATGCAAAGAGTTTAAATAGGTAAGACCCTTAGTTGACTTGCAAGTATAATATCTAATATAGAACTTATATAGTAATGTATAAGCAGACTACTTAAATTAGGCACCAAAATGCATATATGACTAGTTGTAACCTTCAATATAAAGTAGTCCCTAGTGGTATGCTATGTTCTATATACTTGAATAAAAATATTACATCTTGAAAATAAGGACTTTAATATTAAAAAGATAAAAATAAAAATAAAAGTACATTATATGCTAAATGTTATGTAATTTTTATTTCAAGAAATTTTCTTAGTATTACTCCTAAAACCAACTAAATATAGTGGATCATACTACAGTCTTTATAATTAAATTTAATAGTAAAAAAGAAAACAATTATAAAAAATCTCTATAATTATTATATAAAGATACTTTTTATAATATAATATTAAAGTTGATCAAAGATTTTTCAAGACTAACTACACAAAACTAATTTTGAGGCAATGTGAAAAAGATAATATGACTTAAAAGTTTAGTTAAAATAGTATATTTTATACTAATAGTGAACATATATTATTTTTAAATCATTTCAAGTATGTCACATTGCAACTATTGAGCATAATATATAGTTTAAGCTTTTAGAAGTTAGCATAGCTAGTTGTAATAAATATCTTGATAAAAAAAATTTTTTTTATATTCTACTTCATCCAATTATTTTAGTGATCAAATTTGTCTGCTAAACTGGATAGTTTAAGGAATAACTTGCTAGTTATACTAGTATCTTAATTTAATTATCAGAAACAATTATTATAATATAAATATTATATAAACAATTATTTAAATTTTTGCTATCAATAAGTTTTAAATTTATAACCTATCACTTAAAGATTAGCAACTTATCTATATCACTAAGTTATTACATCCTTAAAAATTATGATTTTTAATAAAAAATATTCAATATATTTCATATTTGAAAAAATTTTTTTAGTATTAAATATATAGTATTTTATTATATTTTGATTTAAATTAGATTGCAACTTACTTAGTTATATTTTTTAGCTTATAAATTATTTTTAATAAATTACTAAGTTTTATAGAATTTTAAATTTTTATTATAAAATTATAAAATTTTTATATAACTAGTAATGCTAATTGCAATTAATATGGTACAACAATATTAAGTATATGTACAACATATCTTTGATGTATTAATTTATTATTATTTAAATTTTGTTAAAGTTTCTGTCTTGCAACTATTATATTTTATTTACTGTTAATTGTAATACCTAATAATTTTTTAATAAATTTAGTATAATTCAATACTTCTATAATAGGTTATTAAATTTTTATAACAGTATGTTACTTAGTAAGAGAAAAAAAATCAAGTAAACAATATCATAATTGCTATTCACTATTAATAAAATGAACTGTAATACTAAGATATAATTGCATTGTAATCAAAACTCTAAATATTACATATAATTGAGATTTTTCTAGAATTTTCAAGTTCTTGTAAAATAATTTGCTACATATTATTATATTTATTTAAATTTTCATTCCATATAGTTTGTTGACAAAGTATTTGATATAAAGTATTAAATGTATTTAACATAGTAATTAAGTAAAAAATATTAACAATAGAAAAAGAAAACTGATAACAAACTATAAAATCCACAATTTTATTAGTAAGTGGTATCATTGATCTGTTTTTGAATATGGTTTATTTACAAATTTACCAAGAGTACTTTGTCGATTACCAACCATATTTTGAGATTTATTATATAAATGATAAGAATTCCTGATGTATTTGTTGGTTTATACTTACAGCTCTTATAATAAAAATTTTTATGTTTCTTATAGAAGTAGTTTACTATTTCCGATGCCGGGCTCTAATAAACATTTTTAAAAAAAGTTTATTATACTGTTATAGAGCATATTATACACGATATATTACTTTATACTCAGTTGTACTCACATGTTTGCTAATTTAATGTATTATACTCTACTACTTTATACTACTTTACTAAACCATACACCACTACTATTCGTATTACTCAGTCAAAAATAAGATTTAATTCTCGTCCGTGTAAAAAAATTAGCATAGTAATAAGTTGATTTTATCGGGGTTTGAGAAGTTATTACTATACTACCTTTGTTAAACGGACGAGAATTAGATCTTATTTTTGGATATGTAGTCCTACAGCTTTAATGAATCCTTCTATACAGCTTTTTTATTAGTTTTCATTTTTTAACAAGTACTCTAAACTGTATAAATAATGTAAAATTAAACCGAATTTATTAAACTTCTGCCTAAGACATATATAGTATTTAAAAACATGGGTTTGATTCGAATAATCTGAGTTTAAATAATAAAGAATTCAACCTCAAGAAATTAATTATATGCTTATATAAATATCTCACATGACATGTTATTTATGCAAGAACTATTGAAAAATGTTTTAATTTATTCTACTAGTTAAATATTGATAGATCTATTTTTAATTTCAAATTATTAATATAAATGTAAAGAAAAAAATTGGGTTTAAATTATATTATATATTTTAATAATTAAATATATGCCATACTCAAACTATTAATTCTAATTAAACCAAATATTATTGCAAGAGAAATTTCTACAACTTCAATCAACCATTTAATCATAAGATGGTTAAGTTTCAAAATAAGACTTTAGTTACGTTCTGTTTATATTTCCTCCATTCTCTCCGTCCTTTAGACTTAAAACATTTTTTTTACAATCTGGATCATAAAAACCAATATTACAATTAACTTTGTCAAGAAATGACCAATAAATGCAGCGAGGATTGTTTAAGCAAAATTCACAACAAGCTTGTGCGTTGTATTCTTTAAGGTGTGCAAACATTTGCGTACAAGGTATATTAATTATGCCAGAAGTTTGGTATATAGAACTTCCAGATTGACAAGTTTCACTGTTACGCTTAGATTTTATAGGTTTATACTTTAAACGTTTTGCACTAACATCCCATGATATCATGAGACAAAGGAAAAGTATAACAGAAATAAATTTAATACAATGCATTGCGCTTTAGGAAGAATTTATAAGGAGAAAAGAATTGGAGGAAAAAGTTGAAGAAAGAAGTTGGAGAAAAAAGTTGGAGAAAATAGGGGATTTAAATAAAATAATGGAAGTACCCACGTATATACTAGATACATTGATCTCATAACACGTAGCGCGAGTAACAAAGCGATGATCACTAAATGAGAATTGTAAATTATTTAAATTGAAATTTAAAACTAGTAAATAACGATAATCAGTCTAACAAAAAAGTTACGATCTGTTTTTTAAATCTGAAAACTTTCGATTGCCTTGATAAATGTTTACAATAGGCAGAAATAAGCCAAAATAATACGAGAAAGAAAATGTCAAAATGAATACCAATTAGCAATGATGAGAAGTTGCTTAGATGATGTATGTACATTTAATTAATTTTAAATAATGTATAGTATATTATACAGGCAAATGTCTTTCAAGCTGTCTAAACTTCTTCAGCAAATAAGAAATGAGAGAAAAACATCGATCCAAATTTTAAACCAATAATCGACAAATAGTTAATAATTTAAAATCTTGAAACAAAGTTATTTTTGTGTTCTATGGGATTTTTGTCTGCTCTAGTCCATTGCTTTAATGATCTATTGAGTATTTTTATAATTATATAGATATTTAACATTTTAACATAATAGTATATACTGTATATTTGATAATTGCAAATTACTTAGAAACCGATATTTTTAAATATTATGTAGTTTTTTTTACGAGCACATATGATGTGATAATTGTAGAATAGTCAATACGGTTATTAAATAGTGTATATTTACAAATACAAGTGACTCTCAATAGAAGGAAAACCCTTCGATATAAGATTTTGACTGGACCAGGCAACTTTATTATATTAAGAGTCATGATTTAAAAAGAATTGATATTAATGCAGCAGAAGCTGTTACGGCATAAGCAATAATAGTTTCTGGTGTGTTTTTAATTAATATGTATATATAACTAAATCAACATCTAAGTCTAGTTAAAGTATATATATTTTCGCCGAATCAAAAGAATTATGGCCTGGAAATTATGACAATTAGGTATCACTTATTTCTAACCCTTGTAGTCCCATCGCTTGTTATTCAGAAAAAATTTAAACTCGGTTTCTTAACTTTTTTTTTTAGGGGTTGGGTCTGCAGATTTGTAACCATGCTGAAAATTAATGTGTAGAGCGCACGCTAAAAAGTTTTTCCGCACATTACAGCTGTTATCATAGAACAGGGTGAAACCTGAGTTGCGAAATAGTGAAACTCGCTTTGTACATCGGGTTAGAGTGAAATCTGCGTTTTATTATATTTTTTATTATATAAAAGCGGATTTCACCTTCATGTGACGACCATAGCGGATTTCACTATTTCGTAACTCAGGTTTCATGTTACGTACCATTATTCCTGGGACTAGGGTTTCGAGTAAAAATCTATGATCTGAATATCTAACTCTATCTATATTTAGAGATCAATTCGAATGGTCGAATTAAGGATCGAAACTCTACCTGGGACACCTTATGAAAAATCAACTGATAAATTATTGAGTTCATCATAATTAATGTAATGTTTATTATTTACGAAGATAGTTTAAAGCCGGTATTACGAATAGTAGTGGTTTATGGTTTAGTAAAGTAGTGGAGTATACTGCAAAAATCGTATTTGAGTATATAAAATTAGCATACTATACTATAATAGCAAATCGAAAATGTGTACCAGGTTGTGCTCCGGATGATCATGTGATTGTCCGGAAATCAACGATAATTAATGATAACATCGATT